GGATTCTATTTACTATTTCCATTTAATTCAATTAACTATGCATATAACAACCATAGCGACACGTTATTCATTTCCCCATAGGTATCTTCGATGCATTGCTTGTATATCATGGTATAACCGAGTAAGCAGTGCTGTCGTTAAGATAAAACAGTATTAGGTAGGCGTAGAAAATCAATAGATGAGGTATTAAAACTTTACCGGTTGAGGTGGTTGGGAAATGTGTTACGAGTGTCCAACTACCGACTGCCTCGTCGAGCTATGTTTGGCGGTGTAGGAATAGGTTGGAAGAAAGCTAGGGGCAGCCAAACCAAAGCATGGCTCGAATCCATGAAGTCACTGACAAGTGGACTGAGCCATGTTGGTAGATGTAGGCTACCTGGTTGGGTTTCGCGAGACGAAAGTAACCGATGGTTAGCGACTCTGAGTGACATGTCTCAGGTGCATCCACTCGTTGTGTTCTAAGAAATTCTAATATTTTGAATTCTTCATCATCTCTATCTTTCTCTTTTAAATTTATTCGAACCGTAATCTCGATTACCGGTAATACTTTTACTATCGCTACCACTATAAGACTATCGTCTCTATGTGCGAATGTGGTATAGCAGCCTAAACGTATGTACGTACAAAGTTGTACGTCGTAGTTGACTGATTCCATGTATGAGTAAATGGAAGGAATTAACAGCAGAAATGATACTGTCCGAAATATAGGTCTAGGTAATTAGTAAAGATACGTCTAATGCAAACGTCGAAATCCTACTGAACAACTATTAAGTCCCTGAGCTTGGTGAAGAATGTTGATATTTGTGCTGGGTTTTATTCGTTCTAACCGTCAGTCATCAAAAATGCTTCTGATAAATGGGTGATTCAACACATGCAGTTAGGAATCTCCGAGGGTGACTTTCTGTGTGTATAGATTGGATTACGATGTGTAGTTAATCAAAGAGTTTTCATTGAGAGCGCAACATGATCCGCCTCAAAAAATTGATTTGATAGACTTGAGCTGATTTCCTTTGTCATCTAATGTACTGACAACAGTTTTTTTACATCAATCAAGCACATAGCACAGAAATAGATCAAATATGACGACTGTCTAATAATAATGATCGTGAAGTTTTGAAATCATGGCGTTTAGACAATGTATCGTTTCATTTGTGAATAGTAAGTTTCCTATGACAGCTTGATCTATTTTATGAGGGGCGAAGCAGTTAATCCTATAACAGTTAGTAAATTAGCATTATTTCATGTCTGAAACTATTAGAATTGTATTAATTATCTGTTGGTTGTTTTGGTGATTTTCATTTACATGTCATTGATATCTGATGTCACTGTTGAATTCAAACTAGTCAAGTTGATGTAATATATGAGAATAATTGTAATTTGCATTACGGGGTTGTGAAGATTGTTAAGTTACACATTTTTGAAACCATGAATTGATCAATGTTAGCCCACCATTAGAAACCTGCATGAAGCACTGGACGGCCGTTTCGTCCTGGTATGAGACTCCTCAGCAGTGCTCATCCACGACTCTTGTACCCCGCAGGATTCGAACCAAGGACTTTCGGTATTGTAGGGGAACACCTAACCATCGGACCACAGCCGGTATCTCACGGTGTTCGAATCCTGCGGGGTGCAGGAGTCGTGGATGAGCACTGCTGAGGAGTCCCATACCAGGACGAAACGGCCGTCCAGTGCTTCTTGCAGGTTTCTAATGGTGGTCTAACATTGGTCGATTCATGGCTTCAAAAATGTGTAATAATTGTAATCCCTTTGGTCAGTCATGTACAACGTAGATTTGTGTACGTGCGTACATCGGTTCAAGCTGCCATACCGAATTAGCACAGAGACGCAATTGTCATTTGAAATTTTACAGTAGAAGTAGAAGTAATAGCAGTAATGAGGAAGACTAAGGTTCAAAGAAATTAATCATGAAGGTTAGTTTAGTGGAATAAGCATGGAAAGAGAAAGATAGAGGTGATGAGGAATTCATAAGATTAGAATTTATGAGAACACAGAGAGTGGTTGCACATGCGCCACTGCAATCTATTTTGAGCCATGTTGTTCTAGGTCTCTAACCCGTCTACACCTACCAACATGACTCTGTCCACTTGTCAGTTTTATCTTGAAATCATGGATGAATCATCGTTAGACCATCCTTATAAACATGGAAGTACTGATATATTGCGGTTTTGTCCTGGTATGGGACTTGTCAGTGACAGTGCGCATCCAGGACTCATGCCACTCACAGGATTCGAATCCAATACCTTCGGTCTTGCACATGAACGCCTAACCTCTGGACCACTGAGCTGGCCGGCATCCAACAGTGTTCATATCTAACTCTAACCAATCTAAGGATTTTCGCGACCTCACCCATTTGTCTTCACTAGTTACTGCCCACACCCGACAGTGTTGAACGCTACTGGTCACACGACTTCTCACTAGAACTCCGAGAATCACCTCACGAAACTAATCACACCAGGGTGCACATTTCAAGCTAAAACTAATGGTGGTCTAACAATGATTGATTGATGATTTCAAATGTGAAAAAACACAAACCTCCAAAACTCTGACCCAAAATATCGTAACAGTGCTCACTAGTGACTAGCTTCGTGAGGAAATTCTCGGAGTTCTAGTTGAGAAGACGTGACTAATCGAGTTCAACTTTGTCGGGTGTAGGCAGTAACTACCAAAGACAAATGGGTGATGTCGCGCAAACATCCGTAGATCAATCAGAGTTGGACACTAACACCGTTGGATGCCGGCCCAGTGGTCCGGTGGTTAGGCGTTCGCCTACAATACCGAAGGTCCCGGGTTCGAATCCTGCGAGGTGCAGGAGTCGCGGATGCGCACTGCTGATGAATCCCATACCAGGACGAAACGGCCGTCCAGTGCTTCTTGCAGGTTTCTAATGGTGGTCTAACAATGATTGATTGATGATTTCAAATGTGTAGAAAAAAAACACTAATCTCCATAACTCTGCCCTAAAACCACTATATCCATTACACTGCTAAACGGAAAATAATTAGTCATGAATATTGTTTATTCTTATCTCCTACACTGTAATTATCACTCAATTTGACATTTATTTTTAAATCTAGTCAATAATGATGAGTTTTATTCAGTGTATGGTAAACTACTGATTAAAAATTGATCTGTAAATTGCATAAACCAATTCCTAGACCGGATATTAACTTACTAAACGATTTCATGTATGATTGACCATCTAATTATTTCACAGTGTTATTACGTAACTCTAATAGTAGTGCTTTGTGATTATTATCTATCCGTATTTGACCTACTACTTCTAATGTTGAACTGTTGACTAGAACTTTTGTTCATGTTCTTATCACCTGCTGCCATCCTACAATATCCAACTTGTACTTTTGACCTATTCATGTATAGTTAGTTACGTAATCTATTTCGTTGACTCATAAATTGCCTTGATTGGTTTAAAAAATTTTCGTTTATAAAAGTATTCATGTGTATTAGAGTGTAAAGTCTGATGACGATCTAATTGAAGACACTATTGTCAGCTTATATGTGTTTTTCAGTGATAATAGTTGTATTTGGATGCTACTCACAAAGTGGCTTATGAGTAGTACTAGTAGTAGTATTATTCAACGGAGCGTTGCCTATAAGTTGTAATTAAGGAGAAGAGTTTCAGAAAACTGAGGTACACCACCTGATCAGACTATTTTGAAGATGCAAATAGATGATTGAAGACCGTGTATAAATAACTATTTCATATGATGGATGACGGAGAAAATTTGTAGCTGAGGTGAATGATTGTTGTGGTGTTTCGTCCTCTGAGCTGGATGTTTCGAAACATCCGAGAGAGAGAGAGAGAGAATAGTTCTTTTTTCAAACAAAGATGTGTTGAATGGTTCAATTACTTTGATGCATTGAACTTAACCAATCATCATCAGTTTGCTATAAATTAGGCGCGTGGATCATTGATGCCTAAACACTTGTTTTTGTATTCGAGATACTGTAGTGAAGGAGAACACACCGGTGATGGCAACCGAATTGTATTTGTCGTAAATTACAGAGTTACTCAGTAAAATAGGAAAACCATATCGTAAACGGTTAATTTGCAAATCTTCAATCCATCATTAATCCACTGTCTGACATTTCACTATTCATGCGTTTCATACAAATTCCAATGTGTTCCCACTCTTCCTTTCTTGATCTTCCCTCATTTTCTGCTGCCAGACATTACGTTTTCCCTAGCGTCATATACTACTTATAAGTAGCGCGCACCACAATACTTGTTTTACTTTGGAATCATGAATGAAACCTAGACGCATTACTAAACTCCCGTATCGTCCTGGTATGGGACTACTAGTTATCAAAGGCAGTGCGCATCCATGACTCCTGTTACCCACAGGATTCGAAGCTCAGTACCTTCGGTCTTGCGCGCGAACACTTCGATCACCAATCTTTTTGAATACCTCTGATGCGTCTACTACTATTGTAGTGAAGGAGTACACCGGTGAGGGCAACCGAATTGTATTTAACGAAAATTACAGAGTTACTCAGTAAAATAGCAAAACCATATCGTCAATCGTTAATTTGCAAAATATCAGTTCATCATATCGAACTGAACTGTTCCTGTTGCAAAACATCCATCCATTGTCACCATTCATGCGTTTCATACAAATTCCATTGTGTTCTAACTCTTCCTTTCTTGATCTTCCCCCATGTTCTGCTGCCAGACATTATGTTGACACTCGCGTCATATACTACTTATAAGTAGCTCGCACCACACTGTGTGATAATGTCGTATGGTAACTTGAACTGTTGTACGTATGTACCAAATTCTAGCGGACTGACTGACTGACTGACCGAAACAGAAAACACCAACCATATTTTCAATGATGAATATATCTGACTTTCTGTTTTATTTCCTGTTATGTTGTTCTTGTGTTTTGCTTCTCTAAGTGAAATCCGAGGCGTCGGCAACAAACGACGCTAATGCTGCTGATGACGATGATGATGAATCTATGTCATACTCTCCAGATGATAATTATCCTACAACATCGAATAGTACTCATTCCAGTGGTATGTCATGTTATAATACTGTCTTAACTTAACTTTACTGTATTTATTTTGAATTTCTGCGACCAACTAAGTGGACATCAGCGTTTAGATTAAGTTCTTGTTATGTTAATTATGAATAGGGATATTCTTGTGTATATTGATCTGTTGCTGTTCAATTGGCATTTGGGAAAGTTTGCTTGATGCTTGTATTAAATATTCATTGGATACTTGAGGAGGCCTATATCTGGTTAGGTATTATTGGAAGTATGAACTGACCAAAAATAGGCGGTCATTCGAAACCTGAAAGCATTAGACGATAGTTTCGTCTTAGTATGGGACTTATCAGCAGTGCGCATCCACAGTCCTGCAAATGGGAATCGAACCCCAGGATCGCATGCTAAACTTTTTGACGACTTAATCGGCATTGAACGGTGTTAATGTCTAACTTAAAACACCCTGTAGTGCCTCCACATATATTTGAATTCGCTTACATTTAATTTTGTCAAGCCTTTCGATTAATATATTTAACCAAGCCATTTGCATAACAATAACTTATATGTACCGTTGGTATTTTTTATTGTGTGGTTTGTATGAGCTTGTATGACTGAACATTGTTTACAGCTACGCGCATATTCATTCTATTCGCTTTAATGTTAATCGTTTAAATACCGCAATGACTCAGATATCTTCCTATGTGTATATATACGAACATTTTAATCTTATTAATTCACTCGCACATATGCCCATTCACTCGCTAGTGTGCCTGCCCGGTCTGATATCCCTATTCATGGTGTACCAAAATAAACGCATTCAACACTTCGAATTCACCTTCTGATTTATAAACCGTCAGGCGCTATTTAGTAACGATTGTTCTGGACGAGCTAATTACGAAGGTTAAGAACACGTAGAAATCGGTCACCACAAACCTATGATATATTTCATGATCAGCATGCATTATCTTTGCTGAGCAACTGCTTTAAATCCGAAATGAATTTATCTCCATTGGTCATCGCTTCTCACTAGAATTCCCTCACAAAACTAATCACTAATGAGCACAAGATAATTATCAGTATGAAGATTGTGGAGATTGTTGATCTCCTGATCTGTTATTGGTCTATAATCAGTGAGTAACAACGTAGAACTTCGTACCTGTACGTGCATCATTCCAGGTTGCCATATCACATTAGCACAGAGATGGAATTGGTATTTCTAATCCGATTGTAAATAGAGGTAGTAGGAAAATCAGCTGTAATCTGAAAAATTAGGGTTTGAAGATGTTATTCAATGAGTATAATCCAGTAAAATAAATTTAGAAAGAGTAAAAAGATCCTGGGTAATTCAGAAGACTAGAAGCCATGTCGGTAATTGTCGACTACCTGGTTTCGGTCCGCGAGATGATAATAATCGATGGTTAGAGACCTTGAATGACATGGCTCAAAATCGTTCGCAATGGCGCCGGTGCATTTATTCATTGTGTTCTCTCAAATCCTAATCTTCTAGATTATTCAAAACCTCTAGTTTTGACTTTCTAAACTTTTCTCACTAAATCATACTTCTTGAATAATATCTTCTAATCCTAACCTCTTCGATTACTTCTAATACCTTGATTACCTCTTTTACTATTGGATTTGAATTGACAATTACATCTCTGTGCTGTTGTGGTATGGCGACATGAACTGATGTACTTACGTACGAAGTTCTACGTTGCGACTGACTGACTGACTGAAACAAACTTAGAAAGAGAAAAATGATCCTGAGTAATTCAGAAGACTAGTATTTGAAAGAATACAACAAATGAATGCACATGCGCCGTTGCAAACTATCTCGAGCCATGTCATCTAAAGTCTCTAACCATGGATTACGATTGTCTCGTGGACCCCAACCAAGTAGTCTACACTTATTAACATTTCTCAGTTCAGTTGTCGATGACTGCACCTAGCTTTCTTCCAGCCCACTCCTACATCACAAATCATCGCTCGTCGGGGTAATCATTGGTTGGGCATTTTCTAAACACATATCCCAACCGCCTTAACTAATGAAGATTCACTAACCTCCATACATGTATTAATTAACATATGATTTTGAATAATTGGAATTCGATTGTGTAGCTTTAAAAATAGTAATTAACTGTTTATCAATTGATTTTTTCGCGATGATCAATTTTTATGATGAAGGTCATTCTCAAAATTGTACACATTTCTGTTTTAAAAAAATGCTATTTTTCAATCGTTGTTCGTTCACATTCTACTAGAGCAACTTGCTTCAAAATGCATGTGTCAAAGTTGCTTATCAAACACTGTAACATCAATCAACGGCATCAGTCGATTTATTTAAGGGTGGTTACAGTTTATATGATGAATGATTAAAGTTGAAAGTTTGAACCATTAGGTTTTGATTTATAGTGTATTTGACTGTGTATTTGTGTGTTCATACTGCTAAGAAATTCCAAGCTAAGATGAGAAATCTGTCTCATGTTCTCTTGTTTTTGATGGTTCTTGTTATGATCTGAGATTTGATCGCGATCCGTACTGCGCAGCAGTTCGCTCCGTTCTCCTATATGGCTGTCAAATATGGCCGTTAAGAGTAGAAGATGTTCGTAGGTTACTAGTATTCGATCATAGATGTTTAAGAAGCATTGCTCGTATATCGTGGGACAACCGAGTAAACCATGCTGTCGTTAGGAGACGAGTACTAGGTAAGGATGACAGATCAATAGATGAAGTGGTGAAACTTCATCAGTTGAGGTGGTTGGGACATGTGTTACGTATGGCTAACCACTGACGGCCTCGACGAGCTTTGTTTTGTAGTGTAGGAATAGGTTAGAAGAAAGTTAAAGGCGGCCAAACCAAAGCATGGCAGAAATCCATGAAATCACTGATTAGTGGACTGAGTCATGTTGGTAGATGTAGACTTCCTGGTTGGGGTCCGCGAGACGAAAGTCACCAATGGTTAGAGACCTTGAACGACATGGCTCAAAATCGTTTGCAATGGTGCAAGTGCATCCATTGTTTGAGCTCTCTCAAATCCTAATCTTCTGGATTCGTCAGCACCTCTACCTTTGTCTTTCTAACCTTATCTCACTGAATTATACTTCTTGAATAATATCTTCGAACCCTAATCTTCTTCATTAGCATTAATACCTCTACTATCTTTATCACTATGGGATTTGATTTGACATTTGCGTCTCTGTGTTAATGTGGTATGGCAACATGAACTTATGTACATACGTACGTAGTTCTACGTTGCAACTGACTGACTGACTGACTCACCTTTAAACTGACTACTTGACCGAGAAGACAAGAGTATATACATATATTCATGTCGCCTCCATAGGAAATGATTCCATTTTTTGACAAGTGATATGCATCCGTCTTTAAGGACATTTCTAATGATCATTAAGTGACTTTCAAGTTCGATCACCTTTGATTGGTTCATTATATCAATTCTCTAGTGAATGTTATTAATAGTAGTTTTCTGCCAAATATCATTTTCACACTTTTTACACAACACAGATGTAAGTGGACAATAGTGTTGTTTTCAATTTTGAGATTGTCATCAGGCTTTACTCTCTAATATTGTACATGAATATATATACGGAAATCGAATCCTGTGGAGATAGCTATATCTTTAATCAGTGATTGTTAGACCACCATTAGAAGTCCGGAAGCACAGGATGGGCCGATTTCGTCCTACTATCATACTTATCTGCAATGCGCATCCACAGCTCATTCTATTCGTGCGACTCAACACTGTCAGGTGTAGTCAATAACTACCGGACACAAATGGGTGAGGTCTCGCGAAATCCCTAGATTGATCAAAGTTGGACATTAACACCGTTGGATGATACCGGCTCAGTGGTTCAGAGGTGTTATACGATTCTAATGGTGGTCTAACACTGATTGATTGATGATTCCAATGTGTAAAAACACTAATCTCCATAACTAAGTAAGAAAATAGTCATATCTGGTCTACTACGAGTAACCTAACCAACGGATGAGTGAATATCTGGCAGCATGGTTTATGAAGGGCCGGATAAATAATAAATAATACGCAGTTCTGTCTTGGTACAGCTGATTGATAGCGGTCATAATATAGATGAAATCGGATCATTTCGAGTAATCTATCGTATACTTACTTCCATCATTTCCCAACAGCGTACAATCCCACTCTCCTACATATTGAACAGAAGCCATAAGAATCCGAACATTTAACCCCAATTTATGTGTTCGGAGGGGAATTCGTGACACCCCTATCCTTTCATTGGCCAGATATAAAACTTAATAAAGGATTTTATTCTCACATCCTGTATTTGTGTGTAATTTTCCACTTCTGTCCGTTTCTATTCTTCACTATCTAATTATGTACACACTTCGTATTACGGAATTCTAATAAAGTTTTGTGATTACTATTTATCCACATTTGACCTCCTACTACTATAACTTCCAATGTTGAACTATATTGACTAGAACTTTTGGTAGTGTATTTCATTATTCTTATCACAAACAGGTGTACTACCTGCCATCCTATTATCAACTTGTACTTTTACCTATTCTGTGTGTAGTTACGTAATCCCTGTGTCATTATGATTATTGATTGACTCAAAAATTGCCTTGATTGGTCAGAACATTTTCATCATAAAAAATATTCATGTATATATTGAAGAGAATGAAGCCTGATGTCGATCTCTAATTGATAAAACACTATTAATATTATCATAGATATAAAGTAAACTGAACTATGCACCTGTTATATAATTAATTCTCTCTTAGTAGAAACTATTGCTTAGTATTCACGGACACCAATCCATTCGACAAGTCCCCCAAATCAGAACATGGTTGAACAGGAAATAGAGATTATATTCCAAAACGCAGCAAGGTTAAATTCGAAATAAGAAGCTGAAGCGAAGGCAAAATACGAACAACGTTAGTATTTTTATAGTTTTCTTACATGAGTAAAGCTTCTAGAATGTTCTCCAAGTATGGACTAGCGCTGATTGGATAAGATTTAGCCAATCAGAGTGCAGCTAATGCAGTCATGCATTAATCCATCTGTATCCCGCTAAAAGTACTAAAATTTTAACAGATTAATTCGCATGCTATTTACCTTGTTAAGTTTGGTTTTTTTTTAAAAAAAATTAAGTTAGATTAACAAATTTTCTATTGCATATTGTAGACCATACAAATTATCATCTTGATGAGGCCACAACATACAAAATTGAAGCGCCCAATACATCATCATCGTCGACTCTTCCGAAACGTCGTAAACAACGAATATCCAATAATGCTATGGATGAGGCGACTTTGATTGGTAGGGTTTTTTTTTCAAGTCATTTTATGATTGGTTATGTTTAAACGTTGATGTGTTCGTACTGACCCCCCTGTGGTGGTGTTTCGTTCTCTGATTTGGAGGTTTTGGTTGTGGAGCTTTCATTGTTCTTCTACTGAACAACATCGTCGGCACAAACTTCAGGTAGAAAACTGAAGTATTCGAATTTCTCCACGTTTGACCTGTAACTTGTTCTGTTAACCTCGATCTTGATTGGTTGTTGTTAACCTTAAACCTGTTGTTGTTTGCACCTTTGTTTTGATAGTATCACCCTTTTGATATGTTTCTTGATCCTATGTCATTTATGATTTTTCTGATTGGTTGAGTTCCAAGCTTCTAAAAATTCTCTAGTTTTCTTTCTGCTCCCCCTATCCAGTATTTCCACATTGTTCCAATCGAATGTATGTCCATAATTGTCCATGTGTATTGATGTAAGCGAAGAAGTGTCGTGGCGTTTAACTGCCGATTGCTGTTCACGTAAACGGAGTTGATGAAGAGGCCGTCCACTTTGTCCTATGAAGTAGTGTTTTTCACAGTCTGAGAAATTTATTTTGTAGATGATATTTGGTTTTTCTTCCTTTGTCATTTTTTCCTTTGGTCTACATAAGATTGATTGAATTGATTCTGTTGATTTGTGTGCTACACCTATTCCGAATGGTTTCAGTAGTCGTGCCGTATGCTCCGATATGTTTTTTATGTATGGTAAGTTGATCTGTTGATTGGTTCTTGTATTTGATTTCGCTTTTGTTGACGATTTCAGTTGATGTTTTTTGATGAAGTTGCGTGGATAACCGTTCTTTTGGAAGTTAGCCATACGATGTTTCTACTCGTTTTTAGTGCTTCATATGTGATGCAGTGTGTCTTCGCTTTCTTGAACAAAGTTTGTATCCGGTTGATTTTGTGTGGTATCCCCCCTCCTAAATGCTCCTGGTATCGACGAGAGTGAGGCGAGTCCATCCTTCCTGTAGAAATGCTCCACTGTCCGGGATGTTCTAGTCGCTGCCTTGTCACAGAACATGTGTTGTTTATGTGGATTGAAAGAATGGAAAGCGGAGAAGCGGCGCTTGAACCTGGTTGTGGACGCAAATATGTTGATTTCGAACAAACCATGCAGATGGGCTCCAGATCCCTGGTGGGACGAATGGCGTATTTGCCTATTTTTGGAACTGACATTATTCCATCGTATTGTGAATTAGATTCATTCAGTCAAAGACTCAAGGACTGACCTCTTAGAGAAAACCATCTGCTTCGATTTGGGTAGCGAGACAAACAGCGGCGAAGATATATAATTTGGTGCCACTGTGTGCCAATAATTATGTGCTTGGTTGAGTTGTGTACTCGATAGTCTTAGTGAAATAAAAAGTTGATTATTACAGTTGCTGGTTTATATATGTCATTTGTTTATTGATCTGTATGTGATATGATTGTCGATTGATATGCTTGAATGGTATTACGAGTTCACCTTACTCGCTAAACGGAGCGAAGATCAACGATGCGATGACATGATAGGCTATTCTAAGCAGATTGTCCCAGGCCCCGCTAACAAAAGCAAGAAGTTTTGATAAAGGAGTAGGGTATGTATTCTGCAAGCACCGAGAAAATATGAGGTTGCTAAGCACACAACTGAAGCTTATTTATGCAATGATCGAAACATCCTTGGGAGAGCCACAAATTAGTGTACTAATCTGTCAACCAATGATAGTCAAGCATTTTCGGAGTGGCAAATGTTAGCTGTAGGTCAACTAAGCGTCTCTTGGCGCGAAAACATTAAAAATTCAAATATTCAGAAGTAATTTACAAAATCAGGACATTTTTCCAAATGAGTTCTGGGCAACCGAACGTCCCCAACAGTTGATTGATAGGAAAACTTCAATAATGAAAAGTTAGATTAGTTCGAGTAGTAGTACACCGTATACCAATCGTAATGAAGTATAATACATTAGTCACTGATTTATTGACATGGCTTGATTTGACTTCTTGAAACTTATTCCTTCATCCATCGACTCCAGAAATTCCTTAGCAAGATACCATTACTGTCTAGTAAAATTATAATCGACTTCGTGAGTAAGCATCTAACATCATACCACCATTTAAAGTAAAACACACACATATGTATACTCAAGTTCTGCATTCATTATAACTGATCGACTTAGGGAATTCTATAAATTGTCTGTTGTTAGGATATTCATTAAATATCATCCTAAGAGAATTATTTTCGGAAGTTTAATTCTATTGGTCAATTCCTGCTGGTCAATATTATGGTCAATGTCACATACTTCAATGTTGTTTCTTATTGGTCGTCCAAACTGTCAATGTCACAGACTTCCTTCCTATTCAACCTAACTGTATCAATACGCATTATCTGTTATCTGGACCCTAGGTTCCAGGTTCCCTAGTCTGGGATCCTCATCCTCTTCTGGACTCTCGGACCTCGTACTTTCTGGATGTTGGTAGAATACATGTTCTACTTCATATCAAGTCTTCTTCTTTTAATTCAGTGGGGGTTTGGGACAATCGGGTTAGAGTAGAATGTCTTGTCGCCAGATCCTCGATCCTCGCTGTCGTTTCTCGACTAAAGTAAACTCGTAATAGTTCAAGCATATCAAGTTGACGTGTTTACGTGCATACGTAACATGTGTAGAATTTACTAGTTTTCATCAACGTATCATTGATATATTTTCTGATCTTTAGTAGTAATAACTATTTCACTTGTTCAATTCTATATTCATTGTTTTTTTCTAATATTTATCAGCTCTTAGACCATTCAAATGTGATGAGTGTGGTAAACGATTGGAAAAGGCTCGAACTTTAAGGCTACATAAATTATCAGTTCATCATGGTAAGTTGAAGAATTTGAAAAAATTTGTTTTCTGTTCTGTGATATTGTCGCGGCTAAAATCTGAACATGATATGCGCTAAAACCCCCCCCCCCTTTGAACTGACTAATTGAGAAAGAAGGCATCAGTGAAAGAGAAAGGCCATTTGACTGCTGACTGCCCTAACTAGAAATTAAATCCATTGCTTGTTCGGTGATATATACATTCATACTTTAGAACATTTCTGACTGTCATCGAACGAGTACTAGGTAAGGATAGCAAGTCAGTAGATGATAGATTGTTCCTGGACCTGAAAGCGGCATTTGGCTCAGTGGATCGTGAAGTTCTGTGGCAGTGTCTGTTATTGAAAGGTGTACCAAAGCAGTAGATTTACCTAATACAAGCTTTCTACTCGAACACTACTGGTCGAGTGAGAGCTTATGGCGAAATGTCGACGGAATTCTTTACTTCAAGTGGTGTCCGTCAGGGATGTCAACTCTCTCCACTCTTGTTTAATTTTATCATAGACATGCTCCTAGAAATAACCTTATCCTCGTCTGAATTTTATGGAGTAGACCTTTTACCAGGTGGCTCGCTTATCGACTTAGATTATTCCGATGACATTGTCCTACTTGGTGAAGACGCTGACAAAATGCAGAGTCTTCTGACTACCCTAAGCAATAATGCAAGCACGTTCGGGATGCGGTTTTCCCCCTCGAAATGCAAAATGTTGCTTGAAGACTGGGTTGCATCGGCACCTGAACTAGTGATAGGGAGTGAAGTAGTCGAGCGTGTTGACCGCTTCACTTATCTCGGAAGTCTCGTCAGTGCTGATGGCCTGGTGACTGACGAAATCTCAGCTCAGATACAGAAGGCTCGATTAGCTTTTGCCAACCTGCGTCACTTATGGCGAAGGCGAGATATCCGTTTGCTGACTAAAGGACGAGTGTACCGTGCAGCAGTTCGCTCCATCCTACTGTACGGATGCGAGTCTTGGCCGTTATGAGTAGAGGACTTCCGTAGGTTACTAGTCTTCGATCATCGATGTCTCCGAAGCATTGCTCTTGTATCCTGGGACAACCATTTAAGCAACGCTGTTATTAGGAAACGGGTGCTAGGTAAGAATGGCAGATCAATAGATGCAGTGCTGAAATTTCATCAGTTGAGATGGTTGGGACATGTGTTGCGTATGCCTAACCACCGACTGCCTCGACGATTTATGTTTTGCAGTGTAGGAGTAGATTGGAAGAGAGTTAGGGGCGGCCAGACCAAAACATGGCAGAAATCCATGAAGTCACTGACAAGTGTACTGAGTCATGTTGGTAGATGTAGACTACCTGGTTGGTGTCCGCGAGACGATAGTCACCGATGGTTAGAGACCTTGAATGACATGGCTCGGAATCGTTTGCGATGGCGCAGGTGCATCCACTCTGTGTTCTATGAAATTCTCAGCTTCTGCACTCCTTATAATCTCTACCTCCCTTCTAAATTTATCTCACTGAATTATACTTCTTGGATATTATCTTCGCTCCCTAATCTTCTCCATCACCAGTAATACTTCTACTTTCTGTACCACTATGGGATTTGAACTGAAAATTCCATTTCTGTATTTAACATGGCATGGTAACCAGAACTTATATACGTACGTACGAAGTTCTGCGTTGTATCTGTCTCTGTCTATATTGAAACTTCATCAGCTGAGGTGGTTGGGACATGTGTTGCGAATGCCCAACCACCGACTACCTCGACGGGCGATGTTTTGTGGTGTAGGATTAGGTTGGAAGAAATCTAGCAGAGGCTAGACTAGCATACGACACAAACCCATGAAGACATTGACAGATGGACTGAGCTATGTTAGTAGGTGCAGACTACCAGGTGGGGGCCCCCGAGACAATAGTAATTGATGGTGAAGGACCCTGAATGACATGGCTCGGATGCGTTTGCAATGGCGCATTTACATCCATTCTTTCCCTTCTCTGAAATCCTAATCCATATTTCACTAGATTCTACTTTTTGAATAGCATCTTCGATTACTGCTAATTTTGAATAGACTATTTCCGCTCTGTGCTAACATGGTATGGCAACGTTAACTGATGTACGTACGTACATACAAAGTTCTATGTTGTAACTAACTGACTCATTGACTAGATATCGAGCTAGTGATTGTGTTGTATGTATATATTTCCCTTCTCATCTGTTCGTTCATTGAAATTTTTGATTTTTTTCAAATGTCAAATTAGGTCATAGACCATTTACTTGTGATATATGCAAAGCTTGTTTTACCCAAAATGGTCATTTGAAACAACACATTCAAACAGTTCATAAAGGTAAGTTATACATATATGTATATATATATATATATATATTTAAAAAATTTCTGTATATCCATGATCTTCAATTTTATTGTCGATAATCTAAAACCGATTTTCTGTTTCTTATATTATAAATTGGGCACCAAAATACTATTAGTACTGATTGAAAGCAAAAATAGTTTACTTGCACCCTTCTAAATGCTCTCATGCGTAGATAGCTACTGTTTGGAAAGTTCTACTCCACTGTCTTGTCATGACTTACGTGTTGTTTTGTAAAATTGATGTTAGTATATTCATTCAATATCCTAAGACAATTATTGGTCAATTCCTATTGGTTAATTCCTACTGGTCAATTTTATGGTCGTCTTAGATATCAATGTCATGTACTCCAATGTTGTTTCTTATTGGTCGTTTTAACTGTCAATGTCACGGACTTCGATGGTGTTTCCTATTCGACCAAAATGTATAAATACTCATTATCTGTAACGTTTTATTACCCAGACCTGGATCCTTAGTCCGGGATTCGATTCTTCTTATGGACTCGGACCTCATACTTTCTGGATGCTTGCAGAGTGCAGGTTCTACTTCATATCAAATCTTCTTCTTTTATTCAATTGGTGTTGGGACACTCGGATTAGAGTAGCATGTTTTGTCGTTGGATCCTCGATCCTCGCTCTGGTTTTCTGACTAAGCTAAACTCGTAATAGTTCAAGCATATCAAAATGACATGTTCACGTTTATGCGTAACAATTGAGGAGACGAACAAAGCGAGTATCCAGCGTTTTAAATTGAGTTTGTGGGCATGGATGATCCATCCACCCTAGAAGAGAGAGAGAGTTGGAAATCCTTGATGTTAACAAACCAATGAGGTACACACATAGGCTTCAAGATTCCGAGGGAGAACAAATGATGTATGAATCAGCTTTAATAAAACGTATGACTAGATGACAACATCGTTGCAATCCATTCTGTATTCTTATATATCAACAATAAAAAACTCCAAAGCCTTATAAATTCTGATTAAACAAATGTTTTTAAGTCTGCTTGTGTGCGCCACACAATGGAATCTAGGATTTAACGTGTACGATCTCGACTTCGCCGATGATTTAGCTCTTCTGTTGCACACGCAACAACAAATGCAAGAGAAGACCATTAGTGTAGCAGGAGCCTCAGCAGCAGTAAGTATTCGGTACAACAACTTCGGTACAACAACTTCGGTACAAAACAGCATGCACCAACCAAATCACATTTGACGGTGAGTCTTTGTAAGATGTAAAAACCCTTATGTATCCGGGAAGTATCATTGAAGGGCGCGGTGGATCCGATGCAGATGTGAGGGCGCGGATTATGGGAAAGCGAGGGCTGCATTTCTACAGTTGAAAAATATCTGCAACTCCAAACAACTTTCAACCAAAACCAAAATCAGGATTTTCAATACAAATGTCAAGACAGTTCTACAGTATGGGGCAGAAACCTGGAGAACTACGAAAGCCATCATCTAGAAGATACAAGTGTTTATTAACAGTTGTTTACGCAAAATACTTCGGATCCGTTGGCCAGACACTATCAGCAACAACCTACAGTGAGAGAGAACAAACCAGATTCCAGTGGAGGAGGAAATCAAGAAAAGGCGGTGGAAGTGGATATGACACACAACGAAAAGCATCTGACTGCGTCACAAGACAAGCCCTCACATGGAACCCTCAAGGCAAAAGGAAGGCAAAGAAACACATTACACCGAGATATAGAGAAAGATATGAGAGGAATGAACAAAAGTTGGACAGAACTGGAAAGGGAAGCCCAGGACAGGACATCATCAGCAACAACTTACTGTGGGAGAAAACAAACCATATTCCAGCGGAGGAGTAAATCAGGATGAAGCAATGAAAGTAGATGTCACAGATCGAGAAAAGCGTTGGAGTGCGTCACAAGGCAAATCTGGACTTGTAATTCTCAGGGCCAAAGGGAAAGAGAAAGACCAAAGTTCATATTTCGCCGATAAATGGAGACAGACATGAGAAGAATTTAACAACAACTGAACAGAACTAGGAAGAAAGGCTTAGGATAGAGTAGGTTGGAGAATGCTGGTTGGTGGCCTATGTTCCATTGGGAGTAATCGGCGTAAGTAAGTAAGTGTAGTCTGTAACAATACATTTTCATAACCATCTAATTTTTTAAAGTTTCCGCCTCATTCTATCAATGCTGTTGCACTATTTTCCTTAAACATAAGAAGTGTATTTTCAAATTGTTTCATTCAGTTTTGAAAATATTTACTTTACGGCCTTAATATTTATTAATTTAAATGTGTAAATATTATTACGAAAGGCACTTGAATATACATGCAGCACGCGTTGGGATACTGACCAAAAGAAGGCGGGAAGATCACTCATCGACACTTTGACCCACAAGTTCAGTCCTACAAGGCTGTGGAATAATGTTAGGAGATGAAGTCACATGGTGGTAGGTGGTAGGATGTTTGAGCCTATGTGTGCACCATTGGTTTGATGAAATCAGAGTTTTCCATCTCACCCAGATGGATCCTCCCTACTTTGAAACCTGATTAAACCGCCAGACACTCATTTTTCGTCCTGTTAATTTGGTAAACAACACGATTGCCACGAGAAAGAGTGGCTGTCGTCTACACGTGGTCATCCGGGGGCATTTGGAGAGAGAGAGAGAGAGTGAAAGGACGCTTCCAACTCTCTTCCGTATCAGATCATACAAAGGCTAAGATTTAGCAATGCACATGATAAATTCTTGTAGAAGTGACTTAGTACTAGTTATATATATATCTACATATACTTATGTTGTGCACAGTATTGTAATGCAAAGTGATAAACCGTTTTATTATTTCTCTCTCTTTTCAGGATTACGTCCCTATGGTTGTGATCTGTGTAAACGACGTTTCACAAAAGCTCGTTCGCTGAAACTTCATAATTGTGGTAAAAATGGTTGTAAGTTAGTTGGGTTTTTTCTTATGGTTAAACACTGGTACGTGTAATCATTATTGTCCATCCTTTCTCCTGTAGTAACACTGACGTTCGATAATAATGTGTTGTATTGTAAGTGTGGTGGAGGCTCACCAGTCTATGTGGGCTGAGTTATGTTGTTCGTTGTCGGGCTTACTAATTTTTTTGGTGGATTTGGGCTCAGCGGTAGTTCTGAAGGCGGTCAGCATTTGATATAATTCCGTAGACGTCGGATACTGCTCCGGTCTGATAACTGTTACTAGATAACGCCCAATGGTGTATAAAATTCAGAAGATGAATACGAAGCGTTGATTACGTTTATTATGACACCACACACGGTCATCACAAAAGCCAAAGGGACACGAAGTGAAAATGATGTGCAAGTGCTTGAAGAGCAGGCGGGAGAGCCAATGAGTAGGATTAAAATGTACATATATATGTACATAGGGAAATGAATGAGTCGTCGCATTATTTAAGTGGCTAACATGAACGCGAAGAGGTGGTAAGCAATGCTCGATCATACCTGTTTCACACGAACGTGACAATAACAAAAGCACAATGGTACAGACAAGTTGTTGCTTTACCAATGACTCTCTGTTTAATAAGTTAGTCGAAAGGTCTTAGTCAAATTACGCGCAGACAAACTCAGTTGTATGTAGGGTGCTATAAAAATTCTTTTCATTGTTCCTTTAAATTCTCATCTGTCCATCATGAAAAGCCACCGTTCTATTCCTGAATAATTTTTTTAACCGGTTTTGACAATCTGTCTGTACAAAGATATGAGCTTCATGTTTATGGACTCGAAGCTGCAATGTGCGTTCGTACGGCTGAGTATAGGGAGAGTCTGTTCCCCATTCTAGAAATACTCTCATATGGCCACACGTAAATAGCCCCACTGCCAAGAAGGGAAGTCCTTTTTACTTCCTTCTCATGATGTGGCTGTGTTATACGAATATTAGGTGCTTACACTGACTGGGTTAGGGAATAAAACGGATCTATCTACAACGGTTTGAAAATTGTGATTTCAAACCAATAGGTTTTGACGATCCCAGGGGAACAATTGACTTATTGTTGATGATCGGCTACCATGAGACTACGTCTCCCGACGTTACTCCACTACTACCTTATGGGTTAGACTTCTGGTTCACAAGGGATTAGTGTGTAACCACCTAGGGGAATTGCCTATTTCGGTTTGTGCTTCTAGGCAGTATCCTAACTGTTACGCATGCACGTAAACATGTCAATTTGATATGCTTGAACTATTACGAGTTTACCTTAGTCGGAAAACGAGAGCGAGGATTGCGGATCTAGCGACATGACATGCTACTCTACTCCAAGTGTCCCAACCCCCATTAAGTGAAAGAAGAAGACTTGATATGAAGTAGAATCTGTATTCTACAAACTTCAGAAAGTACGAGGTCCGAGTCCAGTGAAGAATCAAGATCCCGGACTAGTGATCTGAGTCACAAAACATTACAGGTAATGCGTATTTATACATTTTGTTCTAATAAGGGACAGTATCGAAGTCTGTGACATTGACAGTTAAGCTGACCAATAGGAAACAACATTTGAAGTGACACTGACAGTCAGGACGACCAATAAGAAACAACACTGGAGTACGTGACCAGTAGAAATTAACCAATAGGAATTGACCTACAATTCTCTTAGGATATTTGATGAATACCTTAACACTGACACACTCAATTTCATCTATTTGTTTACTTACTTACGCCTGTCAACCCTGTTGGGGGCATAGGCCGTCGACCAGCGAATTAGTTTTCCCTTGTTAGTTCTCTTTTAGGGAGTTGAATTTCTACGGGATGCGGTCGCTTACTCCATGCTTAACCTCCTTCCTTTATCCGGTCCAAGGACCAGCGGTAACTAAGCGGATTTCTGTGTGGTTGAGCCGATGAAGAAATTGGAACGTGTGAATTTACCGGAAATTCCCATTTATCGATTATATATTTATTGTGTGTAGAACCAATAAATACCTGACCAGCTACTTCGGTAATCATGAAAATGGATTATGCAGATAATGACGCATATTGATCGATGAGCTCTGAGTGTCAGATTCACTAGAATAGCAGTTAAAAATCACTTCAATAAATCGCACGAGGTCTGTTTGAATCAGAAGACTGTTTTTAGGTTCTATTCGTTTGAATTATACATTTAGGTGGATTAGACAACAACAACACCGACAGTCAATCGTGCAACAGTCTCACACAAAAGTGACATGTTCAAAATGACTGTCCATGCAAAATTCATTTCAACTAATAAGAACTCAGTGAGTTCGAAAAATATGAGGGTGAACCCTGATTACTTATAAGTAGTATAGTTATGAAACAAGAATTTGATATCCAGAGTGTGTAATTTCACAGAACGAACTTAATGAATCGATCCGTTCTGTTGTCTTCCTGTCTAGAAATACCCAAGTTTTCTACATGAATTAAGTTGTCAGACAATTTGGTGCACAAGAAATTACAATTCGATACGAAAGGAAAACGATTGAGTTATAAATTACCGTTAATGAGAGTGATTTTTGGAGACTGTATTATTTTCCTGAACCACTCTTGTGAATCTGGAAGAACTGGAGGGTCGTTTTTTCTTAGTACAGAACCCCTTAGCAGTATGTATCAACGAGCTAAGCCTGTAGAAATAGGCTTAGTTATTCAGATGTTCAGAGTTCGCGCGCCTGACTCGAAAGTCCTGAGTTCGATTTCCGTATGCATAGATTATGAATGCGTACTATTACCACTGAGGAGTCCCATACTAGAAAGAAGCCGCTGTCCAGTGCTTGCACGTTCCTAATGGTATTCTATCTTAAGCCGGTTCGTGAATTCAACATTATTTTTTGTGGTTAGCGTTTTTTTGGTGAGATGGGGTCGCCAACCCCATGCCCAATCCTCCTCCCTTATCCGGGCTTGGGACCGGCAGTAGCCTCGATGGTTCGACAGGCAGAGTTCAACATGGAAATATTAAACTCTTCCTATTTCCCCATGGGTAACTTTTGATAATCTGACTATTCGCAATGCCTATTATGTGACACCTCTTAGTTCTTAGATCAATTTTTGATGTTACTTTTACAATGTGTAGTCTCACAGCTCTGAACATAGTGCGAGGTAATCCTCCAAATCAACTACTTGAACGAGGAAGGCGGAAGTCGATTCAACTACCGAATAATATGTACGAATCGAGTGATCTTCTCATTAGACCACGCCCGGTTGTCTCACAAATATCACTAACACATTGTTTTGATACTTATCAGTGAATTATTCATAAAAACGACTCGTATTTGATTCTCTGCTTCACACACACTCTCTCTTTATTCTCCAATACTTTTTCTCATTTTAGTAGCAAAACCATTTGTTTGTGATGTATGCGGTCGTGGTTTTTCACATATGCATACCATGAAAGCTCATCGTGCTTCAATTCATGAAGGTTAGTTCCATTGAAAATATTCATTACTGTGATATAGAGTTACTTGTTTATAATATCAATCAATTTGATTTTTATTAGTTCAACTATCTATCTAGCCATTGCCGAAGAGTTGCCTACTTACTGCTCTCTGGTCGTGGCACAGCTGTCAGTTAGTCAGTCACTCAGTTAGCCGCAATGCAAGACTTCGTATGTACGTACATCAGTTTGAGTTGTCATATCACATAAGCACACAGAGAGAGAAAATTATCAGTCTGAATGCCACAGTAGTAAAGATAGTGGCAGTATTAGCGGTAATGGAGAAGATTAGGGATCGAAGATATTATTCAAACAGTATAATCCAGTGAAATGAATTTAAAAAGAGAAATAAGAATGTGGTGCGCGATACTTATAAGTAGTATATGACGCGAGTGTAAACGTAATGTCTGGCAGCAGAAGATGGGGGAAGATCAAGAAAGGAAGAGTTAGAAAACAATGGAATTTGTATGAAACGCAAGAATAAGTGAAATGTCAGACAATGGATTAATGATGGATTGAAGATTTGCAAATTAACGGTTGACGATATGGTTTTCCTATTTTACTGAGTAACTCTGTAATTTTCGTTAAATACAATTCGGTTGCCCTCACCTGTGTTCTCCTTCACTACAAGAAGGCAATGAGAAAGGGATGCACCCTTACCACTGCAAACGATTTGGAGCCATATCATTTGAATTCTCTAACGAAGATCCAACAGAGATTTAAACTGGGCTTGTGGTTATATAGAGAGGATCCACCTACGTAAGTTGAAATACCTTCATTCCGCACAGGCTCCATAATCCTAAAGCGGGGGGGGGGTCACTGACTATTATGCAACTTCATTTCTTAATGTTACTCCACTTGTAGATTAGACTTTTTATATGTTGAAGTTTCCAGTAGTATCTCGATAGAAAATCTGTTTTGTCACATGCACAGTATTCCATCCTCTCCACAAATCAAATGATTTGTGTGTCATATAAATATTTCAGTGCTCGTTTTTACCAACGGCTTTTTTGAATTGTATACAAACTTGTTGACTGTCTCACCTGTGGTTGGGACATGTGTTATGTATGCCCAACCACCGACTGCCCGGATGAGCGATATATTGTAATGTAGGGGTAGGCCGGAGAAATCTAGGGGCGGCCAGACCAAACGATAGCTCAAATCAATGAAGTCACTGACAACTTGACTCAGCCATGTGTTGGTAGTAACTGATGGTTAGAGACCTTGAAAGACATGTCGTCTCAAAATCGCTTCCAAAAGCGCAGCCGCATCCATTCTCTATATTTTCTGAAGTTATAATCTGAATTCCTCATCACCTCTGTTTTTCTCTTTCCATGGATTGTACTCTTTGAGTAACTTCTAGTCCAAATCTTCTCCATTACCGCTAATACATGTACTACCTCTACCCTTATGAGAATTTAAATTGACAACTCCATCTCTGTGTGCTAACTTGCCCTGGCGACTTAAACTGATGCACATATGTACAAAGTTCTGGGTTTTAGTTGACTGACTGACTAACTAACTATCTCACTCATTGTTAACTTTTCGGGTGTTTTTGTTAACTCTATAATAGTCAATCTAATTATTAGTTTTTTCTGATGTTTTTTTTCAAAATTCACCGATTGTAATCATTTCTTTGCCAACAAATTGGTTTACCCACTATTGTTTGAATCACTTGCCTAATGATTGAGCTTTTCAATATTCAACTATGTAGTCTTAGGTTCAAACTGTGTTTGTTCTATGTATTTCGTTTTAGACCATATCGTTGTATCATATTAAAAATTTTAACCAAAAAACATTGCACATGTATATTTGCCTCGAAAATAAGTTCAGTTAATCCGTCATTCAAACACTATCATCGTCTTCTTTCGTCATATCGCAAACAATGTTGCCATCCATCACACTAAATGTTATCATTATTACGAGCTCATCAACCAGTTATATGCTCCTTTTAATAGAGAAACGAGAAGACATATTTTGTGAGATAGTAGTACCATTTCGTGCTTTCTCGTCAGTCACATACAAGCAACATGTTATTCGTGTGTAAATACAGTTTTGAAGATAAGATCAAAATTTCTTATTTAGCATGACATTCACTCACTAGAACCATGGTAAGTAAACATAGGTCAACATACAGTTGTTTTTGAACACATAAAGTTGGAGGACTTTTCCGACCAATCAAGATAGCTTCAAGTAGTTTCAGTGTGTGTGTGGGTTTTGATGACATGTCACAACTCTTTAAAAGGCTGATTTTGGGTCAATTTGATGACCACTCATCATTAGATGTTTTGCAATGGACGAGGCTGGGTTTCTTGATCGATTTTGAAATGACGGGCTAGGTTGATAAATCATGGATTTGATTAACCATTTTGGAATATGTCTTCTTATTTCTCTATTCAAATTTATCAAAGGGAACCACTGTTTTGATATTCCTTTTAGTTGGTTTCAAACTATTTTCGAAGTGTGAACTCTAATAATATGCTATAGTATCAGTTGAGTTAGTTGGGACATGTTTTATTTCGACGAGCTATGTTTTGTAGTGTGGAAGTAGGTTGGAAGAAAGCTAGGGGCGGTCAAACGAAAACATGGTACAAATCAATGAAGTCACTGACAAGCAAACTGAGACATGTTGGTAGATGTGGGCTACCTGGTTGGGGTCCGCGAGACGAAAGTCACTAATGAATAGAGACCTTTGAACGATATGGCTCAAAATTGTTTGCAAATGGCGCATGTACATCCACTGTTTGTGTTCTCCCTAATTCTAACCTTCTGAATTCCTCATAATCTCTATCTTTCTGCTTCTA